GTAGACATTTCCATTAAGTTTGGTGAATTTTAATGCGAACTGAATAAAATTACATTATTAAGCATACCGTAGGTGGATGGGTCCAAGTGATGTTTCCAAACAAAAATACAGAACTCCTGTTGTGTAATATTAAAGTGAACAGAAAATATGACCAGTATAGTAAGGGATGACAGAAATAAAATGCTGAGGATATATAACCTGTGACTTGCTACAGTAGACTGCTTCCAGAATGGATGTGCATACAAAGAAGTAAGAAAAGAATACTAAGAAATAAGACAGAGATGTGATGGAGAGTCGATATCACAGTGGTTAGGGTTGTTTGGTTCTCTACTGATGCTGTGATATTTAAACTGGAGGAATGGTTCAGGCCAAATGCAAAAACAAAACCTATAAGACTATGGTTCAGAAGACTTCAGTCCTACACAAAACTGTGCAGAGCTGTGCAGAGCTCTCAACATTTATGGAAATATCTTGGAACACTCTAACAGGGGTCCTACAGGGGTCCTGTAGAGCAGTTATTCCTAACTGGGGGTACTTGTACCCCAAGTGGTGCGCGAGTGCATGTTGAAGGGGTATATGAAAATATTAAATTTATTAGGTAGTAAAATAAATAGGGCTGTGATCTGTTTTGCATTCTGAGGGCCAAATTGAGAAAAAAAAAAGCGTTTATCAACCAAAAATTACATTTTCTTATATGTTTGAGTTCACCTTGAGATTTGACACATATCAGAACCAAGCAGAGGAGCAGGCTGGAAGTAGAGAACAGCCTGGTATCTGATGCTTTTCACACTAAGCTATCAGAGCTCATCAAAGGTGTCTTGATGAAAACAATTAAAACTAATAAAGTCAGTCTGACTATATTTTTTGTTCTGTATTTTGTTCCCAATTCCTCAAGTTTAAATGTGGCTATAAGGGAGTTACTCAGAGTAGCTCCAGTTTTATAAATACAGGTTTATAATATGGTTTTATTTTGTAGTTATCTCAATTCCCTACTAACTTCAAGGCAAAAATATATGATTTTTTTTATTCCAGATAGAGCTACTAAAAGGCCTTAGAGTTAAATGCTCAAATTCAAAATCAAAAAAGATTAAATAAAATAGTTTTTATTTCATAAGTTGTACATTTCACTTTTGGACAATCATCAATATTTTTAACTGAGAGGGTACTCATGGTAAGAGAATATTCACAAAGGGGTAGACAAGTCAGAAAAGGTTGGGAAACACTGCTGTAGTGGACTCAAGCTTGAAATGGAATGTCCCTGTGGATAGGACAAGTATTGTATGTAGATGAGTCAAATATAAATTAGTTATGGTCAGAAATTGAGACAAGATTGTTTTCAGATTGGATAAAACAGTATAAAAATATCAACATTTACATATTTATTTATGTGTTTATTGTTACATTTTACTTAAAGGAGCCAAAATAAAAAATCATCTTTCCCGTTTTAAGTAATTAGTGTAAAACTCTATATTAGCATTACAGCAATCAAACCCATCTGATATTTGGTGACCATTTCGCATCTTCTTGTATTTATTTTAAAGATGTATATTTGGTAATTAGTTCCAAGTCTTTAATGTTGTAAGGCCTTCTTCCAACCCTCTAAATGTTTACCCCTTATATAGATTAAAGGTATAGTGGAAGTTGTTCTTTTTCCAGGTGGATCATCAAAATAAGTGTTCCTCTTAATTGTCAATCATTCTGGTGACATCTTTATGTAAGGCCATCCTACGTGCTCGTCCCCGTTTTCACTTTCCCTGGTGAGTCTGACATAGCGGAAAAATTGCAAATCTTTTTTTGGAAAGTAAGCTTGTACGGTATGAGTGATGCAAACAGCAACTCAAAACAGAGTATGCACAAGGAGAAATGGGCTTCTGCATACTCTTGCACGCATTCCCTCTGGGGTGTGGGTAGGTTTTTTGTTTTTTTTATTTAAGGGGAGAGGGTGGGTCTTTTCAAAAATTCACAAAAAATTCTCCGTTATACCTTTAAATCAGGGTCTGACAGGGCATGGGACACTCTAAAAATCTATGTTCTAAACTAAAATATACCAGGGTTTTGAATAATTTTAGTTTCACCTATTTTATATTAACTAAGACCAAACATATCGGATAAAATAAACAGGAGTTTGTGGTTGTAATGTTTAATCAATGTTTAATCACAGTGTTTATCCCCTTAGATTTCTATAATAAATCTTTGCTTAACACGAGGAGTCACTGCTGCAGCCTTTTTTTTATTGTGCTTTTCTCCACTCTCAGACTACAGTTGTCCAAATGCATAACTCATCAATATAAAGTTTAATTTCTTTGAAATACTTTATTTTCAGTCCATGATTATTTAGATAGGATTCAGATCAGTCTAAACAAAGTTTGATTTTGACCTAGAAATTCCCATTGGCCATCCCATGCCCTTACAAACAGCCCTGTAAAATAAAGGCCTTCTACATTTTTAGCATCATTAAAAACCTGGGTGTGCAACAATTATTTTTACTAAGGTTTAAATTTGCTGAGGGATTAGCATTGTTGAAATACAAATAAGCAATAGAAAACTCTTCCACAGTTTATGTAACTTTTTTGGCCTTTGCATAGACACCTCCAGGCAAAACCGCCCTGGGCAGAATGCCGTATAATCTATAACCTCTTCTTGCATTTAAAGCATAAACTGATGGTCATTTATGAGTTTCCTGTACTTATTTGCAGTGACTCCATGCTTCCTTAGCATACCCCCTCCCAAGTTATTTTTCATTGGCTAAGATAAGAGATACTGGGTGGCAGATAGTTCCATTCAGTCTTTTTTAAGTTTGGCAGGTGCAATTTATCTGAAAAAAAAAAAAATTCTGCTATTTTATCTGTATTTTCCACCTATTTATTTTTACTTTTCTGTGCAAGTTAAATTTTTATTGAATCTTCATTCATGCTTTTTACACATTTGACTGAATGATGCCATTTTAATCATGAATTTGCCTCTCTGTTTTTGATGCAAAACTAAAGGATACATAGAAGTATTAACCAAAAAGAAGAAAATGTGGCATATATTAATAAAGGCAGTCTGAGGGCTCTTGGTTAGAAAGGGCTGTAGAGATTTGAGATTTATGCACATTTGGCGAACTTTGCCTTGTCTTTTATTTTACATAATCATTTTCTTGCTTGATAAAAGTAAATCGATCAATAATATAGTAACTTAAATAAACATTTGTTATGAATCTTGGAAACACCACCAATAAACTTTGAAGATCTGCCTCTTGCTAATCTTTTTCTGATATTTTTCTTGAAGAAGTTGACAGTTTTATGACTTTAGTTGAAGTTTGAGGAAGTTGTAAACCCTGCAGATTAACTTAAGTCTATTAAAAAAAAAACAAAAAACAAACAAACAAACAAAAAAAAAAACACTTGCAAATATTTTCACAGAATAATTAACACTGCCAATTCAAAAAATGTTTTAGGAAAAGGCCTGAAAAAATCCACTATTTTTCAGCAAAAAACAAACAAAATCTTGGCTACATAATTGTGGTTGAATTTAATGCATTATAAATAAGCAAACCAATAGTCTCCTTTTCCGTAATAGCCTATAGCCTAGCATTAGCTTAATGACGCAATCATTATGCATTTTTCACGAACGAATGAAAGTTTTAGTCTGGCCTTGTGTGGTCTATTTTATGATTTCGCCACCAGATGGCAGCATAAACAAGGAAACGCCTCCAACAGTCAGTGGGTCACAGAGAGGAAATAAAAAAGACAAAATAGGTCGCTTTTAGATCTTAAGACATCCTTTTCAAATGTTATGTATGCCTTTATAGCAGGATATAAAAAAATTAACAAGCATCCCCTTTTTTTTTTTAACAAAAAATATTGATTAGAAAAAAGCCAAACACACGAAAGTTATTTTTTTCTTCTTTAATAAACACATTTAGTATGCTTAGATTTCAGATAATTAATTTAATTATTTTATGTTTATCTGAAAAATTATTTCTTTTTTATAAAAAAAAATATTTAGTTGCTAAACATCAACGACTTTAAGAGCGAAAATGTGTTTCAAATTGAGTTCGACATGACCCAACTAAAAGAATATAGGCAGCGTGTTCAATTAATTTGAATTTATAATAAGACAAATCTAAAAGGAATAGCTCAAAATAATAGTTTTAAAATATAACATATACAGGGGTTGGACAATGAAACTGAAACACCTCTCATTTTAGTGTGGGAGGTTTCATGGCTAAATAGAACTAGGCTGGTGGCCAATCTTCATTAATTGCACATTAAACCATTGAGTGGGAACGTCCAATTAGCAGGGTATCTATATCTATATATATATATCTATATATATATATATCTATATATATATATATATATATATATAGATATATATAGTAGTATTTGCTTTGCATAACCACAATCAAATAATGTGTTCACCATTAAATAGGGAGAGGAGTAACTGCACCCTCCCACGGCTCCACGCTGCAGAGGCTGCGCAGCTCAGGCCTTGGCTTCATGTATTTGTGGAAGTTGCATGCTCTGCGTGACCCGTGACTGATTTGAGTTAACAGCTGACTCTCTCACACTACAAATGGCTTGCAGGATAATCTGGAGAAGTGCTGGATCACGCAAACCAAGCGCCACTCCCAGAAAGAGGGCACAAGGGATGGAAATGACCAATCAAAAAGCTTCCTCCAAATAATACACATTTAGGTCTAAATCCTTATTATTATTATTATTATTTTAATGTTTGAGATAAATAAGAATAAAAGGGGGATGCTTGTATTCCCAAAAGCATAATTAGTAGATTATATTTAAACTAGTGATTAGGAATGTATCGAAATGCAGTTTCTTTTTTTCTTTCATAAAAAGAAAGAAAAAAAGAAAATCTAGTTTCTAATGACATTTTAATTGTATTATTGTTTCTTTATTCGTGCTTCTCCTTCTCCCCTGTGACGTTTCCCTCCCATGTGACCAGGGCGGTGGTATAAATTAAGAGGGAGGACCCGCCCCCTGTGAGATCCAGGTTTGCCCGTTTTGCAGGTTCCCCCCACAGTCAGTCTTATAACTCCAGGGGCCGCGCTTCAGTCTGCGAATTAAAAACATAACTTTAAAAATCTATGGAAATAGGGAAAAAGCAGCGGGCATTTCTCTGCGCCTCTCATATGAGTTTTTGACGCGGGAGGTTGAGCGGCAGCTCGGAGTGCACAGACTGAGCCATGACTCTGAGCTCGGAGATGTCGGATGCCTCCCTCCTTTCGGAAGAGACAGACATCGACGTGGTCGGCGAAGGCGAGGACGGGGACGGCCGCACGCGCTCCTACGTGGACGAGGTGGCGCAGATGCGGGACGGCATCCTCCTGTCCGGCTCTCCTCCTCCCCCCCAATGCCTGCAGGACGGCCCCACCTCCACCTCCTCCTCCTCCAGGGATGCCTTCAAACCGGCGGGGAAGAACGCCCTGGTGAAGCCTCCTTACTCCTACATCGCCTTAATCACCATGGCCATCCTGCAGAGCCCGAAGAAGAGGCTGACCCTCAGCGAGATCTGCGACTTCATCAGCAACCGCTTCCCCTACTACAGGGAGAAGTTCCCTGCCTGGCAGAACTCCATCAGACACAACTTGTCTCTGAACGACTGCTTCGTGAAGATCCCACGGGAGCCCGGGAATCCAGGGAAGGGCAACTACTGGACTCTGGACCCGGAGTCCGCCGATATGTTTGACAACGGGAGCTTTCTGCGGCGGAGGAAGCGCTTCAAGCGGCAGCAGACGCAGGATTTGCTGCGGGAGCATAACGGCTTCCTCCCCGCGGCCGCCGCGTACGGATACGCACCTTACGGCTGCGGCGCGTACGGCATCCAGCTGCAGTCCTACCACACGCACTCTGCGCTGCTCGCCTTCCAGCAGCAGCAGCAGCCCAGACATTCCCACACACACATCCCCTCACCGTCACTGATGCCCACCAGCACAGACCTTACCAGAAGCAGGTTTTACCCCCAGCTCGGTTCCGGTTTGGGTTCCGCGTCCCCAGCGCAGAAACCGAGCTCTCCGGCGCAGCCGCCGCAGCGCTCCCCCTTCTCCATAGAGAGCATCATCGGAGGCTCGCTGAGCCCCTCCAGGACTCCGCCTGTCATTGTCCCGGTTTTGCCCTCTATGGGGATCCCCAGCCAGACGCAATCCGTCCATCCAGAAGCAGTTTTAGTCGAAAACTTTCCCAACAGAGTTATCGGCGGCACTAGCGCCTGTTAAACTAACAAAAAAGTCTTAAAACTGCAAAAAAAACAATGATCAAAAAACAGAAACAAACGCTCCTCTTTGAAGGTAGGATTATTTTTGTACGTTTGATTACAGCAGAATGACGGACATAAAAAAAAAAAAAACACTATTTGTGCCTATATTCATGCTGTTTATATTTATGGTATATTTGTTTTATTTTAATGAGAATCAAAATGATTTATTTCTTTTTTTAACACGAGTTTTCCTTGTATTTTTCCAAGACGTGATTTGTTTCAGTCACTATTTTATTATTATTATTTTTTTTTAGGAGCGTCTCAGGACAGGTTCTAAATGATCACATTTTTTTAAAAACTGTGTCAAACACATTCCTGTTTTTTTTTATTATATCAGAAAATCAAAACAAGTTTTAAAGGTTTTGTATTAAAAAAAACGCAAAACAGCAAAGGTATACATTTATAATTCTATTGCCGTGTGTTTTGATTTGAAGTAATGAAAGCGTTGTACATTTTTTTGCAATCATGGTGTAACTGAGGTGTATTTTTTACACAGTTTGTTTATTGATAAGAAGAATAAATTTCTTTTTGCTAAACAAAACAAAAACAACATAGTTTGGAAAGAAGTTTATTTAAGCCTCCTTTAAAAATAAACCCAAGGTGCAGGAATAACCAGTTCTACAGTCGTAAAACCAGGAGGGTAACATCTGGCTGATATGCGTGTATCAGCCCGTTTACGTTCAGAAGCTGCATGCTTTTTTTTTCTGCGCCACTACTGCACGTTTTGGAACATGCGCAAACGGGCTTTGCGTGTCCATCTGACCTCTCTCACACTCATCCTCATAATTGCGGTGAGCGGACAGGAGGGTGTCAGCCGGGTGAGGCAGGGGGCTGCAGGGTCACAGATTTACACATGATGGCCACAGTTGGGTCACAATTTAGTAGGAAAAAAAAAACTTCTTCATCCCTGATATTTTTATGATCTGCTCCAAACTGACACATAGAGATAAAAAATAAACAGATTTTATTTGACTGATTAATATAGTGTGAAATGTAATTGCTGAAAGCATTATAACTAAGTGGTCAAATTCGTTTCATTTTACTTTCATCAACAGAAGAAATATAATTTGAACAATTTGCTTGGAATAAGTATATTTATTGGTAGTTTTCTTTTTAAATTAACATAAAAAATTGAAGTGTACGTTATTAGGTTTTAAACACTAAAATCTTTAAAATTCCTATCAATGGTTTTTCGGAATGATGTTTAACAATACATTCTAATCCATTATAAACATGTAAAGTGATTGATGAAATGTTTTGATTAGAGATTATTGTAGTTTATTCTGTTCTTATTTATCTTGTGCGGTTTCCACCGGAAAGCAACCAGACTGATGTTTTGGAGGAATACCTATGTCCTTATAGGTAAAATTATGTTTTTACAAGTTTTTTTTTTTTATCTGTTTTTTTTTTTATTAGTTTTTTTTGTTCTGGAAACAAGTTTGGAAGCAGATCTTCAATGCTGGATGGAAACCGATTATTATTCCAATAGACAACTGCAAGTCTGTAGACAATTGTTAGTTTTTAAGCTATTAATTCATAGTTCAGCTCAAATGAACATTACAGATTTACTATTTTCTGCTGAACACCTTATAGAATGAATGATCTAATAATTAAGGACATATTTTTGGAAACAATTTGAAGTAAAACAACAACAAAATATTAAGAAGCGGATGCTTCCAATTTAAACATTAGGAAATTAGATTTAATATTTTAGGGGGGGGAAAATTATGGATATATTAGTGGGGATTATTATTCTCCAAAAATCTTTTTTTTCACAGTGCGCTCAATAGATTTAATGATTACACCTTCCCAGATATCTTCATTAAAACAAAAGTTAACTTTCTTTATTCATATTTCAATAAACTCAACATCTCAGCCTTTCTGCTTCATTGAGAAAAAAACACCTAATGGTTGACTGATCATTTCCCCCTAACCAAAATGTGTCTGATTTATTTACAAAGTGGGGTTTTAATAATTTTATTAATAATGATCCCCTATTTTATGAAGCAAAACTAATATTCGTAAGTATAAATCATTATAATCGCTAATAATGTCATGTTAAACGTATTTTGCAAAGGTTAGTTAATATATTAATCTTGTGATATTTCTTTTCCTTTTTATTCCTTTTACAGCGCCAGTCTGTTTAAAACTGAAACGTTGACTGAAGCAGATAAGTAGTTATTGTAAGGATGGGTGTGTTAGTATAGGAGGGGAACCTTAATCTGGTTTATCCTTTTAATTTTATTCCAAGATTTGTTTTTATTTGTTTTCTGGCCCAGGGCAGTAAACCTGCGAGCTGTTATTCTTCAGAAAGTCACACAATTAACCTGTTTTTACGCATTTAATGGACCTAAAGCTCCTCAGTCCTTGAGATGATGCTTGTGGTTACTTTGCTTCTTTCTTTAAATTTTTTAGCAGCCCTCAGTGCTGCACCCCACCCACTCCCTTTTTTTTTTTAAATGTAGATAGAGCCTGAGCGCTTTCCGTGACTGGAAGTGCGCGTCCGCCGCATGTCTGCTCCGCTGATCCACAGAAACGTGCAGCGCGTAGTAGATGGCCCAGTTGGTGCAGCGCTCAGTTCAGTGGGCCAGTAGAGGATGCGTGATGATGTAACACGCACTGAGAGACACACACACACGCACACACACACACACACACACACACATTCTGGGGAGAGATGGAGCAGGGAACGAGGTCAGATGAAGGTTTTGTTTACAAATAACCCAGGCAAAAAATAGAAATAGAAACAGAAAAAAGAAATGTAGAAAATAGAGTTCGGGCAATAATTTGAGGTAATCAGTAATGCATTATAGGCCTAGTTTGAAAAATAGGCTTTCATTGTGTTTGTTGTTTTTTATAAAACCCTGACAGTTTTAATGTGCTGTACAGTTTTTGCGTTTATATATTTTTTCCAAAATTCCTCCTTAAATAACCCAGTTTATAGATGGGGAAATAAACTGTTTCTTAATGTTTGCATGTTTATGTCTTTTAGCACTTTACAGATGCCCCATTAAACGATTTATACAACGAATTTTGCATAAATGCTCCAGGGAATTTCTGGAAGTAGGTTCTGCTCCTGCTCTTATAATGGAAATAACAAATAACTAACACTGATTTGATTTTTGCGACAGAGACTCCTTTAAATTGTAAAACGGCTATGGAAGGGGCTTAAATAATAGATGATGGTTATTACGCAAAGTAAACATCACATAAAGTAAATCATAACGGAAATATATATATATATATATATATACATTAATTTTTTATAGAGGTGGTAAAGAGTTTAACACAGAGTTAAGACACTGTTAAATAATATAGATATGGATCTGTAACTGAAATATGCAATAACAAACAAAATATTTAAAAAAAGAGATAAATAAAATAAAACAACAAATCACACACACGCACACACACACAAAAACAACTAGATGGTCCGAGAGTCTTGATGCCGAAGGTTTAAAAGCCCTGTGGTACGTTAAAGGCTCCTCCAACATGTCTTGGATGGATCATGTGGTCATCAGCCTCCTTTAGCATGACTGAAGCCAAGTTAGTACTTTATCCTGCTGGGTCACTCGGTTAATGAGGAGAGGGGATAAAGCAACATTCAGAGCACAAAATACTTGTGGAAGAAAAAAAAGTTTATATATATATTTTTATTTTTTTTTATTATTTTTATTTTTTTGCACTATGTATGACTTCACAAGAAAATTTACCATATATATATATTCAGAAAATCACACTACTTTTATCCTGATTCTAATGGAGCAAACAGCTACTTAAAAGAAAATAAAGAAAATAAAAAACAGAAAAAGAAGAATCCCCCAAAAAACAAAAGAAAAAAAATATTACAAACAATAAAAAAGTGATGCAAATATTGTGCATTTGTCTGGCATATGCAAACACGGAACCACAGCATGTGCTGTTTAATATGGGACATTTATTTGCATTCAGGAATAAACTAGTGCGAAAGGTAACTACAAATAATTTTTAAAACTGTCGTAATATGAAGTATTGTACTACTTCTAATCACTTGTTTTAGGTTTTATCTGAAAAGGGAAAAAAAGTAAATTTTCCTGTGTGTAAAAGTCATCTTTAAAGGTTGCATGTAAATACAATATCATTTAGGTAACTACACCCTTTAACTAACTCATTCAACTCAAAATAATCAAAAAATATTATAAAAACTAAATAAAAATTCCTGATATTGCTTTAAAACTTAAACTTTTACTTCTCTGAAAAGCAAGCTTACAGATTTCTTTCTTAATATGAACAAAAAAAGTCACCACAATATTGAAAATGACTAAATTAAACTGACAATTAAAATTAAAAGAAAATGATGAAAGAATGTTTTAATTAAAAATATTATTGTCCTAGTTATTCCAGAATTTCATTAAAAGCAGAGAATCGATAAATATAAAATAGATAATAAAATAGAATAAATGAACGGGTCAATATACCGACTATCATAAAAAAGAAATCCAATCTTAAGCATCATTGAAATAGGATGTTTATTATCTACCTTTTTTATATTTTCTAAGTGGACAACATTTAAGCTGTTCAGTTAAGAATAGGAATTTTATCCCTGGAATTTGTGCATGTCATGAAATACAAACACATTCTTACAGTGTTTATCATTTTATACAAGAGAGATGATTTTTGTTTTGCATTAAAAATTCAACCCCTTCTATATTGAGCCCAGATTTGCAGGAGCCTAGCGACGGCCCTGCCTCCTATAGAGGTGCAGAATCACTCAATCTGCTATTCAACGTATGGGGCTGTCTTCCTCCTAAAGGAGCTCCACTTTCTACCCTTTGAGGAAATTTGGAAGCTAATGCCACCCCTGAATGCTTCCCTAATTAGAGGCTGCTCCACACTCCAAGACCTGCTGCTCAACAGTGGCTTTTTCCATTCTTGTTAAGTTCTTTCTTTCTTTCTTTCTTTCTTTCTTTCTTTCTTTCTTTCTTTCTTTCTTTCTTTCTTTCTTTCTTTCTTTCTTTCTTTCTTT